TCAAGCCGCACCACTACTAGCTCCCCTGATTCTTTTCAAATGACTGAACTCAAGAACATGATGGCTCAAGTTCTTAAGGGACAGCTCAAGCATATCAATGCAATAGAAGGGATGAGTGATGCTAATGAAGACCCATCAAGAGAATGCATGGGAGATTTCTCTAATGAAGCCAATGAAGAAGATGTGAACTACATTGGAAACTATGGGAACAAGGGATACAATCCAAGCTATCGCCCAAACCCCAACATGTCTTATAGAAACCCCAATGTGGAGAATCCTCAAGACCAAGTGTATCCTCCAAGGTATCCACAACAACAAAGACCTCCTTACCAATCTCAAGGAAGTCAATTTCAGCCAAGGCAAGGGTATGAGCAGAGATCATCATATCCGCCCAAGGAGCCATATGCTTCTTCACCAAATCAAGCTCCTCCAAACCAACAAGGTGGGAGATTTGAAGGAATCCTCCAACAGATCATGGATGGCCAGAAGAGAAACACTAAAGAGATGTATGAGAAGATGGACACTTTGTTCAGCAATCTCAACACCAAGTATGATGCTGTTGCCACTCATGTGAAGAAACTAGAGACTCAAGTCACCAAACTATGGAAGCTGTTAAGAGACAGGAAGCTGAATCCAAGAAGTCCTTTTGCAACTCAGCCGCCATAGAAGAAAGATTTGAAGACCAAGTTCCAGAATGGATGCTTTCAAAACCTACTGTTGATTGCATGATTTGGCCTGAAGAGAATTACCCAGAGAGAGAGTCCAATCGAGCTAGAAAGAGAAGACTCTTCCCAAAGATTATCCCCAAGACAGATAACTCAGGAAAGTTTGTTGTGCCTTGTATCATCAAAGGTAACATTCTTGAGCAATCTTTGTGTGACACAGGAGCCAATGTGAACATCATGTCTAAGAGGATAGCTGACAAGATAGGCCTCACCAAGATACAGCCATCATCCATCTCCATCAACTATGCTGATTCATTCTCACAAACCCCTATGGCTTTGTGCCTAATGTGATGGTGCAGATTGGAAATTGCTCTATCCCTACTGATTTCCAGATTGTGGAAATGAGAGAGAGTAGCCATAGACCTCTCATATTTGGAACCCCTTTCCTGTCTACTGTGGGTGCCATATTTGATTTCCCCAATCAAAGAATCTCTTTCAACAAGGTGAACAAGGGTATGTTCTTCCCTATGTGTTCAACAAAGAACTCTTTTGTTGACATGGTCCAAGAGGAGAAAGTTACTTTGAAGCCACCCCAAGAAGGAGAAACTGAAGAAACAATCAAGGAAGATCCCATTCCTAAGCCCAAGCAGCTTGCCAAACAAGCAAGGAGTAAGACTAAGGCCCCTACACCAAAACCGCCCAAGGGATCAACCAAGATTGAAGATGAGGCCAAGCCAAGAAGAAGGTTAGAAAACCTAGGTCTGGCCGCAACATGAAGCTTCTATTCCCAAAGGAGCTTATTGATGAGAATCTAGAAGGATTCAAGGAGAAAGTGACAAGAACTCTAAAGCTTTTTCCTAAGGCAGTGTGCCAAGGGACATTCATGGAGAGATTGTCTATCCAGCTGTGAATCACCCACCAGATACTCATTGCAAGGAGAAAAGACTTGGAGGATCAAAGATGCCTCTTGTCTCCATCTTCTCCTGAGCGCCAAGCCTTACAGTCAAGCTAAAGACTTAAAACAAGCGCTGCATGGGAGGCAACCCATGAGGTACTTTTACTTTTCTTTCTTTAAATTTCTTAGTTTTTGTTTTGCTTTTGTGTTTTCTTTGTTTTAAGATAGGATAGAAGGAGAAAAAGGTGTGAAAACACAATCCGCGCCAAACATTGGCCGCGGACGCGCAAAAGTGATTTTGGCCGAGCAATTTCCAACGGGCCGACCGTTACGGTCGAGCCGGGAAGGAACGCTGCTCGGCCGGATTATCTATCGCGCGACAGAAACCGTTCGCGCGGCACGCACGAACCGGGAAAGAACAGGCCGCGATCGGCCGATTTTGTATCGGAACGGACCGACCGTACGGTCGATCCGGGAAACAAACGATCGGCCTCGGCCGAAATCTCTCGTCCACAATTTGGCCGACCAAATCGCTCGACCGCGACAAAATCCATCGGCCATCGGCCCAAAACTTTTCTCGGCCAAGGTAAGTCCCCTTTTCATTAATTCAAACCGGTTTTAACCAATCTAAACCAACTTAAACCGGTTTTCAATCAAAATTCGAATTTGAAAAGGAAAATTGATAGGATTAGATCTTATTTACTTTACCTTTCCCTTGAAAACAACAAGAACCTCTCTTTCTTCTCCAAAACCCTAAACTCCATTAGAGGAACTCTAAGAGTTTTGATTTCAAAACTTTTACTGTTCATAACTCTAAATTGGAATTTACTTGCTCTTGCAACCTTATTCACTTTTCAACACACAAGGTATGTCTTCTAACTCTAATCCTATGTTTATGCAAGATCGAAAATTTCAATAAGTTTCATTTTGGTCTAAACTCTTGTCTAAACTTGAAATTACATCCTTATAGTCTTGTAATGAACTTTGCTAGGTGGAACCTAGGTGGTTTAGAGTTAATTTGAAGTTTAATTTCACAATTGAATAGTTTTTCACAAAACTTATTGGGCATTCCAAACCCCTTATTCAAAGGTGAAATTGCTTAGGCATACTTCAATTCATTAGTTTATCTAGTGATTACTTGGATTAGAAACTCAATTTCTCTTGATTTGCTGAAAATTTTGATTTTAAGCACCATAATCTTGGGATGAACAGTAAAATCCGAAAATTAACTTTGAAAAAGTGAAATTTCCATTTTGTCTCTTTGATTCATGATTAAGCCTTGAGTTGTTCCATTATTCCATATCATTATTACAACTCAATTAGCTTATTCTTCTTTTGCATTAATCACAAACTCATATTTCTTCCCAAGAATTTGCTCTTGTAGGTACCCAATGGCAAAGACAAAAGGAAATGAGAGTATGAAGAAGAAGAAGAACCCATTCATGGAACCACCAAAGAAACAAATCAAGCTAGGGAGTAGTAGCTCCAATGCAAGAGCAGCAATACCAACTTCACCACATTCCATTGATGCAAGTCAAGAACATGTGGAGAGTCCAAGAGGAGAAGATGATTGGGCACTTGTAACCTTTGTTGGAGAACAAATCCAAGACCCAAGAAAGTGTAAGAAGGCAATGGAGAAGGTGAACATCGAGCCTGTGTGAAGATGGACACCCAAACCCTTGATCTTCTCAAGATAAGAGATGATGTCACATGGTACATAAGGAAGCTAGGCTTGAGCAAGCTCTTCAAGCTAGAGTGTAGTGAGTACTCACAACTCACCAAGGAGTTCCTCTCCACAGTAGCTCTTGCCTTTCCCAACCACAATGGAGACCAACCAGCTGGTGATGGACTCCTACTCTTCAAGATAGGCGATGCCAATGGGCGCATCTCCATCTCAGCTCTATGCCAACTCTTTGGACTTCCCAATGAGACAGCACATGACTTCAAGGAGAACTCAAAGAGGAAACAAGCTGCCTTTGCTGATTGGACACACTTTGCCAATGAACCATTCTTGCCTTCAAGATCAAAGGTGTCTAGAATCACTCATCCAGCCATTCGCTATGTGCACCGCCTCATCTCCACCACTTTCCAATGCAAACAAGAAGCCAACAAGGTCACAACTGATGAGTTCTACATCCTCACCACACCATTCATCAAGCATGAGTACAAGGCCAACCTTGGTCTTTTACTTGCCAAGACATTCATCAATGTGAGGAAGCTAGCTCAAAGACTTGGAAGGCAACAAGAAGCTTTGTGTTCGTTTTGGGAGGCTTATCACGGCCATAGTACAACATGTGGGGATTGACATTCCCAACTATGAGCCACTACCCAAGCCAACCCCTTTGGATCTCCATGCTCTTCAGCACATCCACTTCCTAAACCGTTGGACTAAAGACCCAACTCGGTTTTGCTATGAGTTTCCAATTGGTCCAGCCAACACTTCCCTTGTCTTGCTGCCACATGAAGACATCCCAAGCCTACGCTCAGGTGTTGTCACTTTCCAGCCCAATGAGGAAGACTTCTATGTTCCATCAAGTGAGAAACCATCATTCCCCATGCTCACCTATCGCACACTTCAGCATGCAGTCAAGACTCAACGCCGCCACCAAGAACGCCATGTTCTCACTACTGGCATGGCCGCGCACCAAGCTCTAGACCGTGTTAACAAGCTGGAGAAGATCGTGGAATGCCAATCTCGCTTCATCTCACGCCTAGTTCGTGTAGTTCGCCACATTGCACCGGAGAGACTCTTTCGCCCTTCTTCCACCGCTAGAGAGCCATATGAGCCTGACCTTGGTGAGTTCTCACTAGACTCAGAGCTTGGTTCAGAAGGCGATGACCCCATAGATGAGGAAGAGAGTTCTTCTCACTGCCACACATAGTCATCTCAAGTGGTACTTAGTGCAATGGACACTTACAAATCTCCATTTTCTATCCCTATCTCATTTTAATGAATTTCTTCTTTATTTTTCTTTTACTTTGAATATTACCTCTCACCTTAATGTGATTTGCTTTCACCGGGACGGTGCAAGTTAAGTCTGGGGGGAGTTTTATTGTGTTACTAATGCATTTTTCTTTCTTTTCTTATGTTTTATTCACTTTGTTTCATGTTTTTCAAAAAGTTTTATTGAGTCAAAAACCAGTCCGGAAGTTATGAACTTGCTTTGAGAATTGAGAGTGTTGTGCTAACAATCCATGACCCTAGAGCAGAAACCAGCTAAAGGCACAAGCCTAACAGAAGCTCTTACAGTGGATCGACATGCTAGCTCAGCAAAATTTCTAAGGTAACCAAGCAATCTAGAGTTAACCTCACCCTTAATCAATCTTAATACTCTTGTCAAGGGGGTTGGCATACATGTCGACAGTTCCTTGCTTGATTTTCAATAAGATTTGTCTAATCTTTAAAGAGTTCTCCTCTCTCTCCCATCCCAAATGGTAAGTAATGTTTATGAGAAAAAGCTCAAAGAGCACAAGGAAAACAAGTAAGCATGAGGAATGCATATGTCTGTACCTTCATGTCTTATGGAATACCTTAGTCAAACAAGGAACAAGCTAAAGACTTATCCTGTGGTTGAAAGAAGGGTCAATAGAAAAAATAAAATGATACCCTAGAAAAGTAGGGAGAAATTGACCTTTCAAAGTTCTGATGTGAGAAAGAGAGAGGAAAAGAACTCATTGCACTTAAAGACAATCTTGGAGAAGATCAAGTGGGTAAGAACAAGTTCAATTGATCGATGTCCCCTTGATAAAGAATTCACGCTTTAAATTTATGCAAGAGGTTAGCAATAGAGAGTTTGGATTGCTGGATGAGACTAGTTGGGTTGGTATTGTTCGCTAAACTTGCAGGGTGTATGTGAAGCTAACCTTATGTTGTCTATGTTCATAGTGGAATACAGGAAAGGAACCTTTCACAGGATATTCAAAAGAGCAAGGGAGTTCCACGTTTTCAAACCTCTTTCACGGATTTAGATTCTTTTTGCTTGGGACAAGCAAAGATCTAAGTCTGGGGGAGTTGATATACCTCTATTTTACATGCTTTTTATACTGTTTTAGCATTGTTTTCTAATGGTTTTTGGCAGGTTTTCTATCTAAAAAGGTAGTTTTACTGTGTTTATAGTGTCTAGAGTCTAAACAGGTGAAATGATGCATTTTGGAGCAAAACCATAGGATTTGCACTTCAAGCCGCTCCATGCACAAGCACCAACTTTAAGAGGGCCCAGAAAAAGATCTACTCAATGGATTTCATCAAGACCAGTTCCCTGCGTGCTCTGATTGAGTTAACTTTCCAACGCAACTGGAACGGCCTATTTGGATGAGTAGAAAAGGAGTTATAACCAAAAGAGTGAAGACTGTCCAGACGGCTCTATCGAGAATCAGCGCCCAAACCGCGCAGTCCGGCTGGCCGAGGAACGAATGTTCCGCTCGGCCAAATCTCATCCGTCCGTCTGAAGTCTCGGCCAAAGTCCAAACCGCGGCCGATCACGCAATCACGACCCGGGAAACAAGCCCGCGGTCGGCCAAGCCACAACCGCCACGCCACACCGCGCACGACCATGCCGCGCGAGCCGGGAACAAGCCTCGCGGCCGCGCAACTCTCGCGTACCACGGCCGACGCCCGTCCGAGCCGGGAACTACCCCGCGTCCGGCCGAGAATCATCGGCCAAATCTCATCCGTCCGACCACAGCGGCCGACCGAGACATCCGGCCACGACCGTTCCGACTCGCACACCCGAATCCGGCCGATCGTCCCGACCGACCGTCCCAACGCCGCGGTCGACCCGAAGCCCGTTTTGAAGCCCGTTTCATATTTTCAAGCCCGGCTTAACCCTAAGCCGCCTCAAAAGACCTAGCACTATATATATAGCTTTTTAGCCTCTTGTGAAAAGAGAGCCGCCCTTGTATTTCGATTTCCTACTCTAAGTTTTATTGCAATCATGTTTTCTTCATCTCTATGTGTGTTTGCTTTGATCATGTCTGAGTAATCCACTAGTTAGGTTGCTAGGGTTACTATTCAATGAGTTGCTTGCATGATCTTTGATTTCAATGATTAGCTAGGGATTATATTAGAGTCTTTGTCTCGTCTTGTGCACTTAACTAATGCTGATTGCTTTACCGCGCATCTAGTAATCCGATCTTAGGTTGATTTGAGCCTCGACAGTGTTGTATCATTCGCCGGACATATTCTTTGACAAGCTAGGTTTCTTAGACTGCGAAAGTTGATCTACTATATCTAGTGAACTGTATCAGAACCTATTCATTCTAAAGCTTGATTTAATCACCTAGGGACATACCAAAAGTTTAGCGACTAGGTAGATTAACAAAGGAGCCGGAGCCTCGAAAGTGGAATGGTTTTATATTCGTGATCTGTGTTCTAGACGGTTCTTAATATCCCAACATCCCTAATCAATTCATCTATCATTGTTTCATTGATCATTGCTTGCTTCTCTGCGATAGCCCCTATGACCTAGCGCTTTTCCTTTATTGATTTACAACCTCGTTATACTTGCTAGTTCGGTTCACCATTACAACCTCAATCATACTTTTGTTTTAGCTTGATCCAAAATCCATAGTTTCAAAGTGTACTCAATAGCCAGTCCTTGTGTTCGATACCCATACTTCCGCGATCTGTGCACTTGCAGAGGTCTAGGAGTTTGGTAAAACCTGACTCCACATCAACTATCTCGATGCAATGGCCACTAGCAAGCATTTTGGTTTTCCGAATCTTTTCATAACCTTCACTTGCAATCCTAAGTGGCCGGAGATAGTGAGGTTTTTAGAGAAGAACGATCTAAGTAAGGAAGATAAAGTATACGCTTGTGTCAAAGTGTTTAAAAAGAAACACGATGATTTCATGGTCTAGTTGAGGCAAAAACATCTGCTTGGGACTGCTGAAGTTGGTACGTACGTTGATAATTTTCATATATTCCAATGGAATGATGCTCAACAATTTACGTTATTCGGTGTCATGTGTTGACAATTTTTTTTTATTAGCTAGATACACGATCGAGTTTCAGAAGAGAGGACTTCTTCATGCTCACATAGTTCTTTTCATGCGAGTGGGGCATATAGGACTTCCTCATGCTCACATAGTTCTTTTCACATAGTTAGCCCACAAACACATAGACGATCATCTAGATTTAGAGATCTCTAATCTCGAAACCTCAATAAAAGTAATTATTTGAAAAAGGTCTTAACTGTTTTTGGCCCATTAAAACAACAAAATTCGATTAAATGTTCAAGGTAAATATCAAGCCCCGACTGAATACTTACCAGACGGGATGTCTGAAATGAATCCTGTGAAGGTAAAGTTAAGGTTCCTTTTTTTTAATATACACCTACGAAAATACACAAAAAAAGTCTCAAAAGAGTCGCTAATATTTCCCGAAACTATACTATTAAAGAAACTAATATTGCAAAGGATACGATGTCAACCTACACGAAAATGTGTTTTAGACTTTCGGTAAATTGAATAATGGAAGTTACATTTATTGGCAATGCGAATAAAAAAAATCAAAACTCCATAAAATCTAATTATATTGTGATTTTTGGGGAAGGAGGAAGTACTACATAATCATTACCCCTATATAAATATTCTCCCATCTTAACGCTAACCATCACAATCTTGAAAAATAATAGATCTCGATCAATTGTCAATGTTGAATGATGCTAAACTCGCTTCAGTGGGGCCAAACCGTTCCGATGTGAGGATTACTGTTAAAATTTTAAAGATCTGGGATACATTTCATGTCGATACCGGTGAAGGGCTCAGTTTCCTCTTTGTTCATGATGAGGTTATTGTTACCTTTTGATAGTGTGGATTTATTTTGAAATTAAATTTACATGATACAAATGGATTTCCTAATTCATATTCATAATTGTAACAGGGAACGAAGATGCATGCATTTGTGGAAACAAAATATCATAAAAGGAGATTTAGGAGACTACTTCATGAAGAAGAGTGGAAGACCATATCTGGTTTCAAAGTCGTATCGTTACTCCTAGAATTCGTTTGACCAAACAAAGGAAAGAGATTGTTACATAATATGGAAGAGCAAGTAGAGGATGCTGAGAACTTTGATAGTTTTATTCCGCTGGATCTAATTCCATTTCGAGATGTTCATCGCTTAGGAGTTCATGATGGAACATCTTATCTTAGAGGTTATTTCCTTGCTTATCTTTATTTTTTACTAGAGGATCATTGTGAATAAAGTTATTTTGATTTGAGGTTCCATATTATGCTTAATCGGTGACATGTTTTTTTGTTGTAAAAGACTTCATAGGCCAAATTTTATTTGTTCGTAGGTTGGATGTCATCATAGATCCTTTTCTTCCTAGGAACAGATTGAACGCTTACAATAAAACTACTAGCAAGATTGAATTTGTGATGCGGGACAACCAGTAAGTATATTTGTACTATACTCCTAATCTCTTTAAGATTAATTAACAAGTCATGTAGTATGTATCTGAGATGCCCGTTTTTGATGTTTTTAGTGGCAATAGTCTAAACTTTCGTGCAAATGGACAATTAGCAGATAAGTTCAATATCTTCTGGCTCTGTTACGGTAACTGTGGAACAAATATTCTTCTGTTAACTGACTGGCGTGTTGTTGGATCAGATGGTAAGCTCATTCATATTGTTATGTTAATATTCTTTAGCAATTTTCCAGTTGTCTTCCTATGTAGACTATAAAATCTAAAATTTTGATTTAATATACATCTAGGTGGTATAAATGTTGAAAGTTCTGTTGGCATCTCTACTTTTGTTTTTCATCCCACCAGACACTTAGAGGTGGAACATTTCGAGAATATATTGTAAGTTTTAAAATTTGGAATCAGACTCTTGCTAAATGACTAATCTTACATTTCACTAACTAGCCATGAT